AAATCCCATATATTACGAAAGGACGAAGCACATTGAAATTGACTGCCATTTTATTAGGGAAAAAATACAAAAGAGAATAATACAAACAGAACATGTCAGGACAGATCTTCAGCTAGCAGACATCTTGACAAAAGGACTGGGACATGCACAACATGATTTTCTATTATCCAAGCTTGGAGTATTCAACTTGTTTCATACGACTAAGCTTGAGGGGGAGTGTGAAGATAAAACATCTGTCATGTAGTGCCAACTATTAGTTCATTCTGTTAGATTAGTCATTGCCAAGATGTTAGTTATATTGTTAGTTAGTTAGAACAGTAAATAGTTTGTTACAAATAGATGATGTATTCAATAGAGATAGTGACGTTTTAGTATATGTATAAATACTAATACATAGAATGTAATATAAACAAGAAGGTTGAAATAATATTGCAGTTGGTTTACTTTTCATCCCTGCTCTTCTTTATTCTCAAATACTCTATAGCCACAACTTCCATTGGAGAAGACTGTGAGCTTTCTTAACAAAATTTATATCTAATTAAGATGTATTCTTGGATGTAAGGTAAGATGTTTCCAGTTAACTTTGGGATAAACAGACAATAAAGTTATATATATCTCATGGATTGAGAACTTATCACCAAGTTGATAGTGTATTGTCCCATGGCTATTCAGCTTGTTTATCAATTGAACTCTAGATACCAACACCTTTCTCACCACCCAAGAAGTACTCTTGAGAATCTGGATTTGACGTAATAGTTATGTATCCATTGGATCCAAAGGCAATCCTTCTTTTTATTGATATCCCATAGGAATTTTAGGATGTATGGTGAAGGGAATTTTCGCATATAACCACTAAAAAATAGCTTAATTATGTTTCATAGCTATAGTTTGCTAATAACGATTCGTATCTACCTGTTAGAGGGAGGAAAGATGCGAACGATATTGGGAGAGGGAGGAGAGAGGAGAGAGGAGAGAAGAGGCGAATTATATATGTATATTTATCAAAATAATTGTATATATGTAACGGGTATACATATGTATTTGTATATTTGGCGAGCAAGATTGGAAAAGAGAGGAGAGATGCGAGCAAGATCGGAAGAGGAAGGAGAAAGGCGAGCGATCTATCAAATAATTGTATATATGTAACTGATATTCATATATATTTGTATCTCTGGCGAGCGTGATTTGGAGAGGGAGGAGAGAGGCGAGCGAGATTGGGAGAGGGATGAGAAAAGCAAACGAGAGAGGGCAGAGAGTGGTTTGTAATAATAACACAGAGACTAAAACTAAAATTATGTAATATTACAGGAATTAAAATCGTAATTCCCCCTATTTAAAATAACAAAAGATAAAAATTAAAAGCCACAAATTTAAGAGACAAAAATTTACACCCATTATTTTTTTTAGGGATATTCGTGTGAATAGTCCCTTTTATTGAGCGCTTGAGAGAATTTTTTAGCAATAACTTAAAAAAAAGGAAAATTGTATAAAATAACAAACTATTAATTCAAATTAAATGTTATAATCATAGTTTGATTTAATTGTACCCGTAGCAAACAGTTGTCATTCGCCTCTCTCCCTAGGTTTCTCGCTCGCCAGTCTCTCCATCGCCTCTCTCACTTTTATACAAGCACAAATATATAAAATACGTTTGTGTTTGTATAAAGCGAGAGAAAACTAATATACAAATACGAATACATATATTTTCGTCCTATACACTTATAATTATACAAATACAGATCTTCCCCTGTCCATTTCTCTTTTGCCTTTCTCTCTTTCTCGCTTTATACAAACACATTTTATACAAATTACAATGTATAATTTGTGTTGTATAAAGCGAGAGAGAGAGAGATTTGATATACAAATGTTTTATTTCGATTCATTTGTATACAAATTCAAATTTTATGCAGATATACAAACACATAAAATTGAATTGAGAGGCTGTCAATGATTTATACAAACGAGAGGCTGTCATCGATTTATACAAATGGCCTTCCAGCAAAATTATACAAATCTGAAGCTCCTGCCTGTGAGTTATACATTCTGATGCTCCATAGCAAACATTATGTTTGCTATGGAGCGCAATTATACAAACTATAACTATAACATACAAATATGATTTTTATGTTTGCTATATATGAAAGTTGCTCAATAGAGAAAATTACATTGTTAAACAAACATATACTAGTTAATTAGTCAACATAGTTATAATTTTAGTTAAGTACCATTTGTGACCAATATTCAGTGATAATTACATGGGCTGGGGTTTCGAGATTGTATAATTCACACATTTCTATAATTTGGAATTTGTATAATGTAATTTTGTATAACTGTTTAAAGTTCAGATGTTTGTGTTTGTATAAATTCGTTATTTCGAGTTTATACAAAAATAACTCAATTACACAAACATACCCACGAATTATACAAACTGACCTGTAAATTATACAAACAAGACAACTTAAACTGCAACTTCAATCTATAAATATGTAAACTATAGCTATGGAGCATAATCAAATTTATTTTAGTAGCTATTTCCAAAAATTCCCCCATATGTATCACCAATATCAACATATACTATCTTCCTTAAACATTATTAAGATATTTTTTTTATAAATTCACGTGTTAATAAAAAAAAAGTGTACATTAATTACATTATGACACTTGTTAAGCAATTTTCATTTATTGTCAAAGTCAAAATTGACAAATTTTACCAGAAAAAGAAAAATTAACAAACAAAAAAAATGCAGTACTTAATTTAGTGACTGAATATGAACTTAATTGCGTAAGAACAATAAAAAGAGGGAGGTGGGTACATAGAAGTAAAATGCATGAACACAAGCTTTGTGGCATTTTATTTAAAGAAGATGAATAAAATTAGGCAGAAAATTGAGAATGTCAAGAATCAAAATAATGCTAATTCAATATCATTAAATAACTTAATCATTTTTAGTCAACTGTCATATAATGTAGTTAATGTATATTTTTTATTCACACATGAATTTATAAAAGATATTTTAATAATGTCTCAGGTAGATGATTTATATTGATGATAATGATACATATACATAGGCAAATATAGAATTTAAATATTGTGGATGCTACTTTTTTTTTTATTATTATGTATAAAATATATCCATCATGATTCACGAATGATAAAGACTGAATAGAAACGATGATTTGATTAGTTAATTATTAATTAATACAATTAGGACTTTTATTTATTGATAGACAAATAAATTTAATTCTAATTAGGTTTTTTCAACCATGATTTAATTATATTCTTGAATAAAATTTCAAAAAAGATGATCCTGAAAGAGCTTCCCCATTTAGAAATTTGCTTCAAAATAGCTTATTAATTATACATTGTGTTTGACTGTATTAATTTACTTTTATTGTTCTTGGATTAATTTTTTCATATTAATTATCTAATTATAGGACAATTATTTCCAAAGAAAAGGTTCAAATTTTAAGTATATATGAATATTTCAAAACGTTATTGATCGTCAAGTTATTTAAATTTTTCAAAAGTCAATAAAAGATATTGATTAAATTATATGCTTGTATATGATTGATTACGTATTATTAAAAAAAAAAAAGGTACATTAAGGGTCTGTTTTGAAAGCCACCTGATAATTGAAATTGGTGTAATTACTAGGGTAGTAATTACCAGCCTAGTAATTACACTGACTTGTTTGGTTGCCAAAGTGTAATTACACATGTTATGTTTGGATGCCTCAGTGTAATTACACATGTTCTGTTTGGATGCACAATTGCAATCATAATATTATATTAAATTTTAAAAATAAAAATTAATTATTAAAATTTATACTACACAAATAAGAAACTTTATAAATGACATTAAATTAAGTATTTAAGATATATATTCTTTTTTGAAAATATATTAATTAATAAACACATATTCTTTAACTAATGCTATGAAAAAATAATTGATTTATATTTTTTCAAATTAATATATTTCAATTGAATTGATCATAAAAACTAAAAGTATGAAGTTTCTACGAACATCGTGAAATGCATGTTTGATAACAAGATTAATATATAAATAAAATATCATAAATTATTAAATATTTGACAAAAAGATAATCTATCAAGTCTAATTAAAAAATGACGTGCAATGTGAATTCAATATTACTAGAACAAATGAAATTGAAAATATAACATAAGTTATAAATTCAAAACAAAAAAATTAACATAATACTCTTATAGCAAATTTCAACATAGCCTACATAAATATGATTTTTTTATATAAAAAAAACGTAAGTCTATAACTTTACGTAACAATAAATTGTATTTTAATTTAAAAATTAGAATACTAATAAAATTATGCTAATGAGAAAATAAGCATGACATAAAGAAATAAATAATACGAAAAAATTGCATAGAATCACGTAAAGTAAGGTTGAGAATAAGAAGAAAATGAAATATAATAATATAAAATAAAAAACAAACTTTTAGAATAATAAAAATTAAAAAAGAACTTAAAATAATAGAAGTAAAAAAAATTAAAACAAAAAATTAAAAATAGAAATAAAAAAAAAAATTAAAAAGTAATCAACTTATAATTACACCATGTAATTACCAGCAATTCACAGTCTCGTGAATTGTAGAATGTAATTACCCCTGTCAATTACACCAATTAACTGTTGATCAAGTAATTACATGTCCAACTAAACATGACAGACAATGTAATTACACTTAATTACATTAAATTCAATTATCAGGGTGTCCTTCCAAACAGGCCCTAAGTAAAATCAATTCAAATTATTATTGAAGAAATTGTTCATAAAGTAAACCAAATGTAAATTGAATATTAATATAATAAAATTTAAAATAGAAGAAGAAGAGAGATACTCTATTTAATTTATAATCAAAATTAAATATTTCCTTACCATAGATTAAGACAAGAGGAAATAAGATGTAATGAAAACACATACATAGAGTCTAGCTTGGTTACACATACAACAAATGACATAATAGTAAACATAAACCAAATTGAAATATTTGACTACTAAGATAACCTATACTCTTGAGAGAATTTTTTGGGCAGATGCTTCCACTTCTCTCCCCATAATGTTACACCTAACCAAACTTGAAATTGTGTTCATCACCATTTTAGCATCTTCCCACCTATTCCCACTAGCCAAATTCTTATACAAATAGCTATCAAATGTCATCCTTTGCACATATTCATCTCCACACAACTCCACCAATGCCTCCCTTGCTGCATTATTACCATAAAACACTTTTTGCAACACATCCAAGAACTTGAATGTAGTAAAATACTTGTCATCCCAATTCCTTAAATATTCCCTTTTCAAGTCGTCTTCATTGATCATATTCTCTCCACCCTCTGAAGCCTTCACGATTGCTTCCCCACAAATTCTTCCGCTTTTCGCCGCGAAATATATTCCTTCGCCCGAACATTTTGTTACGTATCCGGCTGCGTCCCCTACTAGAGCGACACGTCCGCGGACCCTAACCGCGCGCGGATGCTCTGGTATGGGATGAGCTTCTACTTTGATCACTTTCCCGCCTTCGATTTTTGGTTTGACTCGTGCTCTAATAGCGTGTTGAAGTGATTTGATATCGGATTTTGAGCAGACCGTCCCCGTCCCCACTGCCACGTGGTCGCATTTAGGGAACACCCAAGCGTAAAAATCGGGTGACACGTCATTCCCTATGTACATCTCAGCTAAATTTTCGTAATACCCCATTTTGTCCTCGGGTAATTTGATCCTCTCTTGGAAAGCAATGGCAGTAGTGTAATTTCCAGCTTTGATCGATTTAGCTACACGGCTATTGGCTCCGTCGGCGCCGATGATGACATCGACGGCGAGCTGATGCTGGCAGTTATCCATGGTGTAGTGAATGACGTACGGCTCGCGTGTGGATGTGGGGACCACGAGGTTGGTGACCAGTGCTTTGAGAAGAGTGGCGCCGCTAGATTCAGCCCGCTGCCGGAGGAATGAATCGAGCACTTCTCGCCGGAGCATTGCGATGAATTCATGGGGTTTTAGGGTTTTACCGAAATCGACGACGAGATTTGACGGAGAAACGATTCGCATCTGAGTGACGCGGCGATCGATGAGATTTAAAGGTATTGAGAATTCGTCGAGCATGCATAGTGGAATGGCGCCGCCGCATGGCTTGGCTGTAGCTGGACTTCGTTCAAAGAGGAAAGTTTCGATTCCGCCAGTGGCTAGAGCTTCTGCAGCTGAAGACCCAGCTGGACCGCCGCCGATTACAGCTACTCGAAGCTTGCAGACGACTGGATTTCTGGGTTTTTGTTTGAAATGATGGGTTTGGTTTTGTGGGTTTTGGATCCTGAGTGGAAATGGCAGACATCGAAGAGGGTGAAGATGAAGGTATGTTTGGGCGGCCATTGCTGATAAAAAAGGGTTTTTTTTTAGAAGGTTTGAGATTTGGCAATGGTGGTAGGTTAACTATAGTGATATTATATAAACTTATTAAAAGATAGGCGAAATATTTGTATCACTTTGTATTCTGGATCCTTTTACTTACACATTTGTTATCTGGATCATTAAACTAAATAAAATACAATGTAACAAATTTCTTTGATCATTGACCAAACTTATGTGGCATTAGAATGTCTGAGTTGATAAATATGTGTAACTACACGCTTCTTTAAGTGATCGTGAATAACATTTTTGGGTTAAAAAATATTAAAATTATAAAAGAAATAATCTTTTTAAAAACAATTAATTAAAAAAATCCTTCTTTCTTCTTCACCCACTATTCGGTCCTTTTCAGCCATTTTCATCTCATACCCACCCCTTTTTTCTTCTTCTCCACAATCTATTAACATAAATTTATCAGATCTTAGGCACATCTTGAGTCCACTGATTAACCGTGAAGGGAGAAAGCGGCGCTGATGGTGCACGCCGAAGACCACTACTTTGCAATGGAGTGAGAGAGAAAGGCGGCACTGGTCAGTGGAGAGGAGAACGAGCTGGGTGAGGGTGCGAGGTCATGGTGACGAAGAGGTTTCTCGGGCAGATCTAGTGGTGCGGTAGCTTAGGTTGTTGATTTTGTGGAGGTTGGAGGAGGAAAGGAAAATAGTGATGGTGTGCGGCGGAGATGAAGATAGGTGAGGGAGAGAGTATATGCGATTTCGCCGGCAAAATGGCCATGACGACGACGATGACTTCTCTGATTGATTTTGGCCGTGAACAGTGAATGAGGAGAATGAAATGGCACTAATAATTTTTACGTCTCTTTTAACATTTATTAAAATTTTTATATGAAGATATATGTTACCTTTTATTAAATAATTTTGTTTAATTAAATTATACATATGACGAGTATGAAGAGTATATGTTACCTTTTATTAAAACATATTATATGGAGAATCAAATTTTGGTTACCTTTCATTTAAAATAATTTTGGTTAATAAATAAAATTTTACGGACATTTATTAACATATGAAGAGTATATAATACCTTTTATAAAATAATTTTGGTTAATAATTTTAAAAAATAATTATGAAATAATTATGACATGACACTAATATATATGACATGGATATGACATGTCATTTATGTAAAGGAAAGTGAACTACACACATGGTTGGAGGGGCTAAAAAGTTTCATTCTAATTGAATCTAAGGGTTCAGTTGACAAATGGTTAAGTAAAAGGGTCCAGAATACAAACGGATACAAGTACAGGGATCCATCAGACCATTTCATCTAAAAGATAAAGATGCTAAGATTAATACTAGGCAAAATGGTCTGGTGGACCCTTGTCCTTGTATGAGTTTGTATTGTGAATCCTTCTACTTATCCGTTTGTCAATTGAACCCTTGAACTCAATAAAACACAATTTAACAAACCGCTCTGACCATTGACCATGCTTATGTGACAATAGATGTCTGAGTTGGCAAAAACATGTAACTATACGCCTATTAAGGCGAGTGAGGAACATTTTTACTTAAAAAAAATATTAAAAATTATAAAAGAAATATTTTTTAAAACCATTAATTAAAAAAATCCTTCTTCTTCACCCATTACACCTCCTTGCAGTCATATCCATACCCAGCCCAATCCCTTTTCTTTCTTTTTCACAATCTATTTTCATCTAGATGATCTTGAGCATCTCCTTGAGTCCACTAATTCACCGAAGGAGGGAGAGAGCGGCGCTGATGGAGCTCGCCGGACACCACTGATACGCAGTGGAGGGAGAGAGAGAGAGAGAGAGGCGCGGCTGGTCAGCAAAAAGGAGAACGAGGCGGGTGAGGCTGCGAGGATCTAACCATGGCGGCGAAAATGGTGATGGTGTGCGGCGGAGATGAAGGCGAAAATGGTGATGGTGTTCGGCTAGATATGGTGCGGTGACTTAGGTTGTTGGTTTTGTGGAGGTTGGAGGAGGAAAGGAAAATGGTGATAATATGCGGCGGAGATGAAGGCAGAAAAAATATGTGTGATTTCGCCTGCAAAAATGGCGACGACTTGGGCGTGAAACAGTGGAAATTGGAGAAAATGTAATAGGTTTTACTTTAAAAAATATAATTAAATATTTATTATTTTACCTTTAATTAAACAATTTTGATAAATAATTTAAAAAAAATTATGACATGACATTAATATATCTGATGTGGATATGACATGTCATTTATGTAAAGGAGAGTGAGCTACACACATGGTTGGAGGGGTTTAAAAAGCTCATTTTGATTGAGTTTAAGAGTTCAATTGACAACTAATTAAATAGAAGGATTTATAATACAAACACATACAAGTATAAGGGCCCACTACACCCTTTTACCTTAATACTATAAAGAACTGAACTTTTGTTTATTTTAATGTTTGGGGTTTTAACTTTAGTGAGTTTAGTAGGTGAATATGGTGGACACAAAAGGTTTGCAATCTTGTAATTTACCACATGACTTTGAAGTAGAAAGTGGAAGAACAGTGCGTTGAAGAAAGTGCCATTTGAATTTTGATAACATTGAAGTAGGAAGTTTTAGATTTTATTTTATTTTATTTGATCTTAGAAATTTAAAAATTGATTTAATTTTTATTATATTTTTGAAAAAGAGAGAATTATTAAAAACACCATGAATTAGGTGTAAATTATTATTTTCGTCCCGAATTATTGACTATTTAAGAACATCTTTTTACTTGATATACAATCCCTTAGTCTTACAATATGAGTAAAATTAAATTGGTACGGTCGTGTCAGCATGGGCCCAACATGTAAGTTGATGCATATTTGAAATTTTTATTCAAAAAGATGAAATGTTGTAAAGAAAATTCAAACTTAACAATTGAATAAACTCAGTTATACGTGTATAAGAAGCAATGTTAACTTTGATCAAATATACATATGATATGAGAAGCTAAGAGAATACTAATTTTTCAACTTAATTAGATGAACTGTAGGAAGAAATGATCAAACTTAAAGTGTAAATTTTCTGAACATGCTAAGAAGGAAAAACGTTTGCTGCCAAAATATTCAGAAAACCGTCACCGAATAAAAAAGTACTAAACTCCCATCCAAATATTAAATATAAGTTCTCCATAAATAAATAAAAAGTGAAGAAAATTGACGCGTTTAGATTTGGATTAATAAAGAAACAATCTAACATCAACGATATTCGTGGTTTCTATTTCCTCACCAATCGTGAAACATAGTCACAATTTCCGTTCTGACTTTGCTACAATGAATCTTCTCAATGATGTTAGCACTATCATTAGCACTTACAACTTTCACTCCCTTGTAGTTCTCTTCATTAAATATGCACATAAAAAAATTAGAAAGAAAAGTACAAAATTTTCAGAAGCAATATTCAAAAATCCATTGGGATGTGCGAACCTCGGTAGCCCAAATCTTGCTAACTTTCACTTTCATACTCAGCTCCAAGATCGAAGTGTCTTACACACCAATGCATGTATTCCTTAAAGTACCATGTATTTAAGAAATATTGTTATGAAATAATGACATCTTATTTCCTCAATTGAGTAGATATCCAAGGCAAAGGTTTAATTAGCAACTAATACCACATTAAAGAGAACAAAAATGGTCTTCTCCATGAAATTATTGTTACACAAGATAGAGGAAACTCTTTTAGTCTCAAGTCCATGTCACATGCTGAGCAAATTAACTTGCAACACTCTTATCTCCTTTCATGTTGAAAGTAATCAAATTTTGTTTTGTTCATATAAATGGGGTTATAAGACTTATGAGTTCGAATTATATATGTGAGTCATTGTATAACAATAGAGTATAAATGATCAGTCATTTTCATAACGAGAGTATATTAATTCTAAATGATAAAGTTATATAATTGGTATATCAGGCCATTTCCCTTTTAATAATAAGAGCTAGCAGATGACTTAGATCATACAACATATATACAAAAAACCTATGCCTCATTCTGAAACAAATAAGTATTATAGAAGGGGGATTAACCTGAAGCCTGAGAGTCATTAACAACAACACATATGTCCTGTAGAGGGTTGTTATAATAAGAATAAGCAGAGAACAAAAGTAATGACTCCATTGATGATTCGAACTCATCATATTTAGGAATATATTTGAGATAGAAGGTGCTTACCATTCGAGTAACCCCTAAAACCACGGTGTATTGGTACCTAAAATCACGGTGTCAGCGAACCACTCAAAGACAGTAAAGTACACTAGAATTTGTTTGTGTAGACTAAAAAGAAGTTAAGAGAATTTGTTGTTTAAAAAATGTGAGAAATCCCTCTATTTATAGATAACAAAGGATGATATGAACATGTGTTTATTGTGCTTTATCGGAAAGGTCACAACTCTTTAAAAAAGTCACAACCTTTCCAAAAAGTCACAATCCTTCAAAAAGTCGTAACTCGTCGAAAAAGTTACAACCCTTTATTTTTTATTCACACCTTTTAAAACCAAACAATTTCAACTATGTAACTTCAAAGTATGAACTCCAATATTTTACTGGACTCTAGGACACTATCCTTTTATGGAGTTCTAGTCTAGTTGTATAAGTTCGAGTTATGGGACATAATTCTGGAGTTTCACTCGTAAAAGTTGAAAACTTTTATATATAGAATAAAATTATATTAAGTTAGTATTAGTTAGTGATTCGAACTTAGATATATTGTTGACACCAGTTCTATATTATTTCTTTGTGGACCAAGGATAAAAGGGGCTTGGCAGAAAGAGGAGTGTACCATGAGAGAAGCAAGGTGGTTAACCTCTTTCAAATGTATACAACATGAAATTTAGCAATGTAATTGGACTTTCATGTCGATTCGAATGAATCATTTTCTTTCCTGCCCAGTAATTTCAATCCAAGTCGAAATAGAAAAAGCCACAAGCAACACTAGGCTTGATCGCCGATTGAACATTATGCAGGATATTCATTCCTTACTCAATAATAAAAATTTAACACATTTTCAGACTATTATAGAAGACACTGCTAACTTGACAGACAAAGTTACAGGGAGTCCAACAAAGTGGCTGATTACCTTGCAAGATTGTCCACAACATTGGACCAATCTATATTAAATCACATATTTGATCAAATTCCAGCAGGTGCTAAAGGTCCTTATCTTATATGCTTAGCATATATTAGGATTATGAGAATGTAGTCTTATTACGTAATGAAAAGGCGTACATATAGATAGACTTATTGGTTACACATGCAGCAATGACATACTAATAAACATGACCAAGTAAAATATGCCCTTTTAACTTGTCTCATTAATTCATATTTATGCTCTCCAACTTTAGGTGTGTACACGTAGACATTTAAATTTGAATAAAATTGAACAAATAAACACATACGTGGCATCCTACGTGTGTTATGTCACATAGGATTTACGTGTCTACTTGTTCAATCTTATACAAGTTTAAATGTGTACTTATACACACCAAAAGTTGAAGGACATATATAAATGTGAAATGAGACCAAATTAAATGACACATTTATGTATTATACCTAAAATATCCGCGAGAGAATGTTTTGGGCAGATCCATCCATTTCTCGCCCTAGAAAATTACACCTGACCAAACTTGAAATTGTGTTTATGGCAATTTTAGCATCTTCCCACCTATTCCCACTAGCTAATTTCTTATAGAAGTAGCTATCAAATGTCATCCTCTGCACATATTCATCTCTACACAACTCCACCAATGCTTCCCTTGCTGCATTGCTACCATAAATCACTTTTTCCAACAAATTCAAGAACTTGAATGTTGTAAAATACTTGTCATCCCACTTTCTTAAGTATTCCCTCTTTAGATCATCTTCATTGATCATGTTTTCTCCGCCTTCTGAGGCCTTCACTATTGCTTACCCACACATTCTTCCACTTTTTGCCGCGAAATATATTCCTTCGCCTGAACAGTTTGTCACGTATCCTGCTGCATCCCCTACCAGAGCAACCCGTCCACGAAACCGAATAGGACGCGGATGTTGCGGTATTGGATGAGCCTCTACTTTAATCACTTCTCCGCCTTCGATCTTTGATTTGACTCGTGCTTTGATACCTGAAATGATTTGATATAAGGTTTTGAGCACATCATGCCTGTCCCCACTGCCACGTGGTCGCATTTGGGAAATACCCACGCGTAAAAATCGGGTGACACGTCATTTCCTATGTACATCTCAGCCACGTTTTCGTAATACCCCATTTTGTCCTCGGGTAATTTGATCCTCTCTTGGTAAGCAATGGCAGTAGTGTAATTTCCAGCATTGATCGATTTAGCTAGACGGCTATTGGCTCCATCGGCGCCAATGATGTCATCGACGGCGAGCTGATGTTGGCAGTTATCCATGGTGTAGTGAATGACGTACGGCTCTCGTGTGGATGTGAGGACCACGAGGTTGGTGACAAGGGCTTTGAGAAGAGTGGTGCCGCTAGATTCAGCCCGCTGCCGGAGGAATGAGTCGAGCACTTCTCGCCGGAGCATGGCGATGAACTCGTGGGGTTTAAGGGTTTTGCTGAGATCGGTGACGATGCTTGAAGGAGAAATGATTCTCATCTGAGTGACACGACGATCAATGAGGTGGGAAGGTATTGAGAACTCGCTGAGCATGCATAGTGGAATGGCGCCGCCGCATGGCTTGGTTGTAGTTGGGCTGCGTTCAAAGAGGAAAGTTTCGACTCCACCGGTCGCAAGAGCTTCTGCAGCTGACGACCCAGCTGGGCCGCCGCCAATAACAGCTGCTTGAAGTTTAGAGACTGTTGAGATTTCAGTTCCGATTTCTTCTTCTTTACCTTCAATGGAGAAATGCAGCAAAGAGAATGAGGACAAACAAGTAAAGAAGAAGAACCCTAGGATTTGTCGGAATGTCTCAAAGCACACGAGTGGAGGCAAGACATTTGGGCTTTCTCAGACTGGGAAGACATTTGGGCTTCCTCAGACTGGGCCTCGAAATACAAATTTGAATATAGGCCCAACTTAATAATACCTAGAAGTAATTTCAGCTAGATTGTCTATTTTATCCTTTTTCTTTCTTTTCCTAGACATTGTTAAGAGAATAAAGTTTGTTATTGAATTAGCAAATAGTAGTAGGACACCTGTACAGTCAGTTAGGAATAAAATGTTCTTTTGATTTCCACATAGCTGTATATATACATGTATTTAGAAGATGATGAATACACAGAAAATTTCTAAAACTATCTCTTTACTGTTTTCTTGCAATTCCTACATAGACAACTAGATTTCTTTTCTCTCGTTTGAAAAGATGGCATTGCTTTTGTGGGTTGGGGTTTTTGATCAGTTGAAGTGGGGGACGTTGAAGAGGGTGAAGAAGGGATATTTGTGTGGTCATTTCTAATAAAAAGGATTTTTAGGAATTAATGATTTCAAGATTGACAATGCTTGTAAGGTTATAATGGATTATTTATATATATATATATATAACAAAAAAGGTAAAGATGCTAAGGTACTTGATTTCAATTTACAATGACCTTTAATTTTGGATATGCATAAGTATACACTTAAACTTGTATAAAATTGAATAAATAAACACATTCATCATGCATGGCAATTGACACCCTACATAACAATTCTGTGTACTACGTGACATCCTACATGTATTATGTCACGTACAATATGTGTGTCTACTTGTTCAATTTTATACAAGTTTAAGTGTCTATTCATGTATACCAAAAATTGGAGGGCATAACTACCAATTGAATCTAAGTTAAAAGTCATATTTATGTATTATGCCAAAAAATAATGAGTATATTAGTTGTGTCTTAGTAGTATTTTGTATGGTACATTTTTTTAGTTGACATAATACATAAATATATCCTTTATTAACTTAACTTTAGTTGGCACATGTGCCCTTTAACTTTGGGTGTGCACAAAAAATAGACACTTAAACTTGTATAAAATTGAACAAATAGACATATGCATCCTACGTGACATAATACACATAGGATTTCACGTAGGACACCAATTGTCATATAGGACGTCACATATGACACATGTGTCTATTTGTTTAATTTTATACTAGTTAATGTGCCTGTTTGTGCCCATCAAAAGTTTGAGGACATAAATGTCAGCTGAAACCAAGTTAAATACTCCCTCCGTCCCATTTTATGTGAGGTACTTTAACTCGGCACGAAGTTTAAGAAAGGAAGGGAGACTTTTAAAACTTGTGATCTAAAATGAATGATAGAAATTTGTGTGGCTGGAAATCATTTCATTAAGGGTAAAATGAACATTTTATAGTTAAATTGTTACTTTATATATAAATGTGTCATTCTTTTTGGGACTGATTAAAAAGAAAAGTAAGTCATATAAATTGGGACAGAGGGAGTAACATATTTATATACCTTTTTAGTTTATGTACATTTGTTATACACTTCATCTACTATTGAGGTGTGCATTACTAATACCATGAATTTGTATTGAGGTGTGTACTATTTATACATGAAAATCCATTATGTCAATAATGCATGTAAGGTTGACAAATGGTTGGATTGTATCGAATTTGGATGAATTGAATATATATTGTGCAAAATGGGTTGAATTACAGATCGATCTATATAAAATATGAGCAAATATAAATTTAGTCAAATATAATTTTGATAAAATAATTCTAACCAAATTTAATCTCCTGCAGCCAAATACATTACTCTCTCCGTCCCATTTTATGTGGTAATATTTGACCGGGTACGGAGTTTAAGAAATAAATGAAGACTTTAAAATATTTATCAAATTGCCCTTTAAAAAGTAGACTCACTTTTCTTTCTCCTCATAAATGTATTAGAGTATTATTTTAAGATTAAGTGGGACCAACAAGGGTAAAAGAATAAAGGCATAATACATATATTGACCCCTAAACTTGGCTTCAAATTTTAACTTTGACCTCCAACTTTCATAATGCACAAATAAACACTTTAACTATCCTACCTTTAAATAAATAAACACGTGATTTTTCGGAGCCAAAAGCGTGAAATGCAAACGCTCCTACGTGTATTAGTGACCCACTCAATGGCTGCCAACTATTCAATGCATGTGGGCCCGTTTTCCTGTCTATTTGACACCTTTTCAATTTGTCATGCATTTATTTCAATCTCTTTTAATGGATATGGACCCCACCTCACTAATTCCATTCCCTTCTCTTTATTTCTGCCCCACAACTTCTTCCTTCACTTTCATTTTGTGGTAAATTAATATTTGAAGATGTCAATTATTCAATTTATAATTTATTTGTCTTATTTCTTTTTTTTAATTTATGTGTATTCAAAGATTACATTTAAGATGCTATAAATTATTAGACTTAATATTTTAAAATTTTTATTACAAATTTGAAAATTACGTAATATACACTATTAATTACAATAATTACTAATTTAAAATATTTTTTCAATCTAATAAGAGCCTACAAACACACTATACGTTATATTTAAAGTACTATAAAACATAATTAAAATATATATTTTTTAGAAAATTTTTTGTTGACTCTTGAAATTCTATTGGTGACACATGAATTTGAATAGATGGAACAATATATATTATTGAAAGTTAACAATACTATAAGTTATTCGAAAATGACGTTAATGATTTTTATAAATTATAACAAATTAGCAACTAAAATATTTTTGAAAAAACATACAAAAAATTAGTTGATGAATCAGCCACCACACCGTGGACATGTATGCTTTCTGTGATTAAAATTGAGTTTAAGGGTTATTTTGGTCATTTAAGGATTTTTCTTTAAACTTCAAGCTTTATTAATAGTGATGTATTCATTTTAGAGTTAACATGAACGTTTACTACCATATAAATATATATAATTTATTCAAATTTAAAATTTAAAACTATTTATTTAACGTCAGTTAAAAATTAACTTTTAAATTAATTATTAGCACAGGCTCTTCATCACTAGTATATAATATAATAAGCGGGAATAGAGAGGACCTTGGGGTCGACACGTGTTCCTTTTTCCTTCTGGACAAAAAAAGACTATACATGCAGGAGGTCAACCTGTAAAAAAAAAGGGGGACCCATATTTTACTATTGAAGGATGCGTGTTTCTTTTAAATTTCTTTTACCATACTAAATAATTGTATTAAATATTATAAATCATGATAATTAATTACTTAAATATTTAGAAGATATAAAAATATATAAAAGATCTGATTGACTCTTCAAATTTTACCCGTGACGCATAAATTCGGACAAATGAAATAATATATATTATTTGAAAATTTCTTAGAAAGTACTATAAATTACAGTAATTAACAGCTAGAAATATTTCAAAGACAAAAAAAATTGATTGAATCTCAAAAAAAAATTTAGTACTACACGTTTTCCTTTTTCCTTCTTGCCAAAAAAAAAACTTCATTATAATTTTTTTTCGTAATAACAAAATTTTTTATTAAATGTCACTTGCATTTTGCAGTGAACAACAAATAATGCAAAAAAGAGGGGAAAATTGTTGAAAAAAATATAAAAAGGGTTTAATTGTCCTTTCAATGCTTTTTTTTTTACTGTTAACCCCCTGGATTTTTACATCTGACGCGCCTAATTTGAGTGTATTTCACGCATTTTGCCAGGTAGGATCCGAGTGTTTTTTTTGTTTAAGTTTTGGATAGTTAAAGTGCCTATTTGTGCACTTACAAAGTTAAAGGTCAAAGTTAAAATTTGAAGCCAAGTTTAAGGGCCAATATATGTATTATGCCAAGAATAAATGTACCTTTAAATACGTTACCATATAAGAAAATGTTACATTTTTTTAGAGACTGACCAAAAAGGAAATGATGCCACATAAAATAGGATGGAGGGAGTAATATTTTCGCACCCCCCACCTCCACCTTACTCCCACCTCACCCACAATTTTTTTAAAAGAAAAAATTACACCCCCCTCCCAACTTCCACCCTTCCCCATCGGGCCCCTTATCCCTACACAATCCATAATTTTTTTAAAAATAAAAAAATCAAAAAAATAATAATTAATTTTCTTTCGCCCTCCACCTAGACCCCCTACCCCACCTACCCCCAATTTTTTTAAATAAAAATAAAATATTTCAAAAAAAAAGTTAATTTTTTTCACATCCCCCACTTCCACCCTAGCCCCCACCCGGATGCCCTACAACCGCCCCACCCACAATTTTTTTAAAGAAAAAACGGAGAAGGACCTAAAATACCCCTCAAGTATTTGAATTAGTACAAAATTACCTTCCATCCAACTTTCAGCCTTAAATACCCCTGACGTCCACCTATTGGCTCAAAAATACCCTTATGTCTAACGGACCATACTCATAAGATGGATGGAGGGCACTATTGAAATTACTTAATATATAAACTCACATGATTGACTTTATTTTGAACGGAAAAGGGCCTAAAATACCCTCGAAGTATTGAAAATGGTACATAACTACCCCTCATCCACCTATTGGCTCCCAAATACCCTCTCCATCCACCTATTGGTTCACAAATACCCTCCCCATCCACCTTTGGGTCCAATTTTAGCCACTTCATTAACGGAGCACCATTTAAAATAATTAAATAATCCTTTTAATTACGTGGCGCTCAACCATTGGTTGCAATTTAATTATTTAATATAATTTTAAACCCACCCACTTTTAACTAAACCCGTCCGCCCCAATATAAAAAGAACCCTAAAACCTCCGTTCCCAAATTTACACTCCATTAAAAAAAAAAAGGTTAGGCATCTACTCTCTACACCCCCACCCCCCACTTCTTATCTCTTTCATTTTTTTTGATAGTTGGAACTTTTCCACCATTTGAAATTTTA